ACCTTGCTATAACTATCCTCAGACTTGAAGTTATTACATTCTCTGATATGTGGGGCCGTATGCTTTGATTCATAACTAATGCTATCTGAAATACTGGTAGACGTACAGTTATGCGTTGGGTATGCCGCTAAGCATATTTTGAGATGTGAATAACAGATACATGATCTGTCCCTTCTACTGTATAGAAGTATAATGTCAATGGGCCCACTGAATAGTAGGACTTGGGAAAGTGCATGGCCATGCCCAGATATGTCGCTATCTAGAGACTGATAAATATCTGATCCCTGCCAGTCTACTTGAGATTCAGTAACAGCTGATTTAACTATACAAGGATACACATCCCATGCCTTGTGTTAAATCATGACATTTAGGACAGAAGGATAATAGTTATAGAACGTCTTGTGTCGTAGAAGGTACTGATGAGATGAACGTCTTTTTCATAATCTGGGGAGGCCTTCAACTTTAGCTTTTCTACCAACGTCTTTGATGCGACGTTGGTGCAACTCCCGCTGTCCACGATTAGTGAACACACCTTCTTTTGCACGGTACAACGGGTATGGAAGATGTTCTCCCGTTGCAACTGATCGTCCGGGGCAGCCAAGTTGCTCAACGCTCTCGGAATGGCTAAGAGCTGGCCTTCATCTGCTCCAAGGCATTCTTCTTCTTCTTCTGCTACTTCATCAACCCAAGAGGGGCTGTCTGCTTCCTCTTCATACTCCACAATGGCCATAATCTTCTTGTTTGGGCATTCGTTGGCATAATGACCTATGCCTTGACAACGAAAGCATTTTGGAGCGCGAGTGTTGGGTAGGTTGGTTTTAGGGGGTGGCGGATTAGTGGAAGTGGAAGGGATGGAGTTGGGTTTGGAGGAGGGGGTTTGGGCCGTGGCATAGGGGGTGGTACGTGGTGTGGTTTGTGTGTTTTTTGAGAAGGGAGGGGGACGGCCAAAAGGGGTTTTGTTTCTCTTAAGTTGAGACTCAACCTTAAGAGCTAGTTTGGACAGTTCTTCAAAGGTGTCGTAGGTTTGTAACTCCACCACATTGGCGATTTTGGTGTTTAGCCCAAACAAATAACGGACCAACGTTTGTGAATCATCTTCTTGGAGGTCACACCTCATCAAAAGCTCTTCAAACTCCCGGGTATAGTCCTCCACTGTCCGGGTTCCTTGCCTTAGTTGTTGTAACCGGGCAAAGTTATCCCTCACATATTGTTCGGGTAAGAACTTCTTCTTCATCAAGGCTCGCATCTTTAGCCACGTCTTTACGGGAGCCTTGCCTTCACGCCTTCTTTTGGTGGAGGTGTTGGTCCACCACGTGGATGCATATTTCCGAAGCTTAAGGGCAACAAGCTTCACTATCTTGTCTTCGAGCACGTCTTTGAAATCAAAGACACGCTCAACTGTCTCGAGCCATTCTAGAAACTCATCGGGGTCGTTCTTGCTTTCAAAGGTCGGAAGGTCGACCTTGAAGTCTGTGACTCCTTTCTCATGAATGCTGCCTCCGGTGTTGGTGTTGGAATCTTCCGTAGGGTGTGTTTTCAGCTCCTGTTCTTCATCACTTTCTTCGGGGGTGTCCATCATCTTCAGCTTCATTTTGGTGAGTTGAGCCACTTGTTTTGCTAAGTATTCAACTTGAGCTTTTAGAGCGGCGTTGGAGGCCTTAAGTTCTTCATTGGTGAGAGTTTGGGATTGGTTTGACATGGTGATAAAAATGAGGATAAGAGAGGTGGAGATTCTGGCCGAAATAGGAAGGGAAAAGAGAGGAGGAAAGGAAGTATGTTATAGGTCCTTAGAGATGTTCAACAACAAGCTTTGATACCAAAATGTTATATCTTAGCTATGGGTGTAGTGGTTTTAAGATTGCAGGAGGGGGGGGGGGATAGTCGATTATCTAAAAGAGATAATCGATTATTGAACGGTTCAGCTTCTCGAGGGATTTTGGCGGATATTTTCAGAAAGGGGTAATAGTCGATTTAAAAGGATATGTAAATCGATTATTGATGGCAATGTTGTTGCTAAGCTTTGGGTGTTTTGAGGGATACAGTGGTAAGATTGTAGGAAGGGTGATAGTCGATTATCTTTGAAGAGATAATCGATTATTGAAGGGTTCGGCTTCTCGAGGGATTTTGGTGGAGATTTTCAGAAAGGGGCGATAGTCGATTTACAAAAATATGTAAATCGATTATTGATGGCTGCAGATGTTTCTCGTAAGTGGATAGTCGATTTTACCAAGCTGGTAATCGATTATAGGGCAGTTTCAGGAAAGGAGAAGGAAGTGTTTTAGTAATGGGGGGATAAACCAAGGAGGTCTAAGAGATATAACACACTCTTATCCTTTCTTGGGGTTGAAATCTAGACTTCAATTAAGATATAACACACTTAATGAAATACTAGAACCTAACACTCACACTTAAGGAAACCAACCTTAAGATATAGAAATTAGGGTTTGAAAACAGAATACAACTAGTGTATTTCTATCTTAAAATGAAGAATAATATGCTGAGCATTACAATAGGCCTATGGCCGAAATTTAAAGGCACTCATACAAAGGAAAATACTAAGCTATTTCTTCCACAAATCCTAGAAAATGCAGCCATGTGCTTGAGTCCTTTCATGGAATAAAATCAGGGAAAATGTGGACAAGGATTCATGAATGAATATTCATGGATGGAAGGGGGGTTTCGGCCATATTAGAGGGCAAAATGGATGGGTGATGTGTTGGGTATTTTGGCTTGGCTAGTGAGGTGAATATTTGGTGGTTGGGGAGTGATTCATTCGACCTTAGTGGGGAACAGTGGGGTGTGAGAAATATGGATTTTATAGGGTGGCTTTTATGGTGGTTTAAAGGTCAAAGTAATCANGGAAAATACTAAGCTATTTCTTCCACAAATCCTAGAAAATGCAGCCATGTGCTTGAGTCCTTTCATGGAATAAAATCAGGGAAAATGTGGACAAGGATTCATGAATGAATATTCATGGATGGAAGGGGGGTTTCGGCCATATTAGAGGGCAAAATGGATGGGTGATGTGTTGGGTATTTTGGCTTGGCTAGTGAGGTGAATATTTGGTGGTTGGGGGGTGATCCATTCGGCCATAGTGGGGGACAGTGGGGTGTGAGAAATATGGCCTTTATATGGTGGTTTTTATGGTGGTTTAAAGGTCAAAGTAATCAAAAATATCCATTGGCTTGTTGTGCTTGTTATTTCGGCTGTACTAGGGGACAAGAGGGGGACAATGTTTGTAGGATGTTGGGTGATGAAATATGGTTGTTTAGCTTGGTGTGTTTCGTTTTTTTTGGGTTTTAGGCTTGGTTATGGGGCAGGGTATACGGCTCTTTTAGGGTGGAGATAGGCTCAAGGTTGTCATGGTTAAGTAATGTGGTTTGGGGTTGGAGAATTCATTCCAGAAAGGATCGTAACACTTAGACATGATTCCACTGATTTGTTTAAGGATTTGAGGATCATGTGTAGTACTAGGGGATACAACAGGATGAGAATTTATATCCGCTCAACCAACTTCTAGTTGTGGTTGGTCATCAAAAACGGCGAAGAAACTCCAATGAAGAAGGTCGGTGAAAAACTCGTCCCAAAGACCAAGGACAAATTTGATGCCAAAGATATCAAAAAGGTGGAGAACTACGCCAAGGCAATCAACATGCCGTACTGCGCGGTCAACCCCGATGATTATCGCAAGATCTCTTGCTGCACCACCGCCAAAGAAATGTGGGACAAGCTGGAGGTCACATATGAAGGTACGGACCAAGTTCGGGAAGCCAAAATTGACTTCCTAACGCAGGAGTACGAAATGTTTAGGATGAAGGAAGGCGAAAAGATCGATGACATGTTCGATCGGTTCTCAAAAAGACTTACGCCAACAAGGATCTCGTGAGGAAAATCCTGCGAAGTCTCACACCCGAATGGAGATCAAAGGCTGACGCAATCTACGAATCCATCGGAGTCTCCAACGTCACCATCGACGGGCTAAGAGGTAACCTCAAAACTTATGAATCTACTATTCTAACCCCGTCTTTGGATGAACAAAAGAAGAAAGGAATAGCGCTCAAAGCAACCAAGGAGACCATAGAAGAAGTCTCAAGCGATGACGACAACGAGTTCGGACTCGTCATCAAGAAATTCCACAAATTCATGAAGAAGGAATTTGAACGAAAAGGAAGAAAGCACGACGGTCCCCCGAAGTGCTATGGCTGTGGCGAGATAGGCCACATCAAGCCGAGGTGTCCAAAAGGCAAAAGCGGCACGGACAAACCTGGCTTCAAAAAGCAACGTGCCTATATCTCATGGGGTGGCGACTCCGACGACGAGTCAACTGACCAAGAAGAGGAAGAAGCCGCCAACCTCTGTCTCATGGCACACGAAGACCACACCGACGAAATACAAGAGGTATGTATCACTTCCTCCGACTCTTACACTTTTGAAGAGATGCAAGAAGCTCTTCGAGAGCTTTATGATGAATTTGTTAGCGCTTCTAAAACCAACAAATCATTAAAGAAACGACTTTCAACTCTTGAAAATGATTTTGAAAAACTGGAAAAAGATAATGAAAAGTTGAAACAAGAAAATAAATTTTATGGCAAAAGAAGCGCTGACAAACTGGAAAGATCTTCAAGTGAATGTGAATCTTGCAAAGCTTTAAAAGAAAAGGTTGCAAAACTTGAGAGTACGGTTAAGAAGTTCAATACACCACACAAATATCTTAATTTACTCCTAGACACTATGCATTTTTCTAAGGAAGGATTAGGTTTTGGTAAAAATGAATCTAAGGATAAAAACGTTGAGCAAACACCTAGACAACCTCCTAAGGCTCAACGTAAGAAAGTTAAAAATCAGGATAATAGAAAATCTAGTCAACCTAAGGACACTAGACAACCTAGACAAAAACCTAGGAACGAAAATGTGCATATTAGACAACCTAGGAAAAACTATCAAAATGATTTTGTGGATAAAAATAATTTTTCAAATAGACAAAATAATGCTAAGACACCTAGAAGAGAGAATTTTCAAAAACCAATATTCTCTCAAAATAGGATGAATATGGTTAGGCCCCCTAGCAACTATTATCAACCTAGGAGGATGCACAACCCAAACGTAGTTTGTCACTATTGCAATAGGGTAGGACATATAGCTCCCATTTGCTTTACTAAGCATAGGCATTGGGCACAAAATGAATCACACTACCACTTTGCACCTAACACTCAAGGACCCAAAAAGACTTGGGTACCTAAATCTTATTCAATCATTTTTGTAGGTGTGCTTGAAGGCGTCAAGTGTACTTTGGTACCTTGATAGCGGATGCTCCAAGCACATGACCGGAGATGCATCCAAGTTCCTACAAATCAAACCCGCTAAAGGAGGAAACGTAGTCTTTGGAGATAATAGCAAGGGAAAAATTATCGGCGTCGGTTCAGTAGGTAAGTCCGAAGACTCCTCTATAGATAATGTCTTGCTTGTTAAAGGTCTTAAACACAATCTCTTGAGCATAAGTCAATTATGTGACAAGGGAAACCGTGTGACCTTTGATTCAAAATCATGCACGGTAGAATGCCTTGGTGACAATAAGGTCATTCTACGTGGTGATAGAATCGATAACATATATATCCAATTGAATCTGTTTAGAGGAAGGCCGAAACGATTCACGGAGTACTCATTTCTCCTTCTGTGAACCAATACCGTGGCTTCCCATCGAGTATACTTGTACTTGGAAAACTTGTTTAACCAAAGTGTTCTGAATCATTAACCGTAAGGTTTACTTAAGTTTGAAAAAGACACCATATGTGATGCATGTCAAAAGGGGAAGAAAGTTCGGGCTTCGTTTAAGTCTAAGAACGTTGTTTCAACGTCTAGACCGCTTCAACTTTTGCACATGGATCTCTTTGGTCCTTCTAGAACGAAAAGTTTTGGTGGTAATTACTTTGCGTTTGTGATTGTCGATGAGTACTCTAGGTTTACATGGACCTTGTTTCTAACTCATAAAAGTGAGGCATTTCACGTTTTCAAAAATTTTCTAAAGAAAGTTCAAAATGAAAAAGAAACAACCATAGTAGCCATAAGAAGCGATCATGGGGGAGAGTTCGAACGAAATCTATTCTCAGATTTATGTGACGAACTCGGCATTGATCATAATTTCTCAGCCCCACGTACACCACAACAAAATTGCGCCTCCATCGCCACCGAGTGGAGCTTGCCATACGCCTTCCTCGTCATGGACCTCATCGTCTCCGCCGACATCCACATCGTCGGGCCAAGCACGAAGATAACGAAGCTGTGGGTCATCGCCGACACCACCTTCAAGAAGAAGTCCGGAGACCAAGACGATGCCGGACCAAGTCGTGCCCGTGCCCGTGCCCCTGCCCCCGCCCCTGCCCGGGCCTCGTTGCAGTCCATAGCCGACACCCTGAATCGGCTAACCCTCACGGTGGACAACATGGGGCAGATGGATTGGAGGCTGCAACGCCAACACCACGACATGACGGCGTTCTTCCGCGGCATCAACTACGTCCCGCCGCCCTTTGACAGCACCATCCTCGGCCAAAACTTTGAGGGCGAGGATGAGGACGACGACTCCTACGCTCCGTCCTCCTCTCCCGATGAGGCCGACTTTGAGGACGCAGTCGACGGCGATCCCATGGACGTCGAGAACAACGAGGACGAGGATGCCGATGCCTAGACTCTTCCCTTCTTTTTTAAAATATGACTGTACTTTTTTGTTAATTTCCATTCCGTTGTATTCCGCATTTCCCTTCTCTTTAATGAATAAAAGTTTACTTTTAATTCTTTTTGTTAATGTCAAAAGGGGGAAGATATAAAGGTTATGCATAAATTGAGGGGGAATTTTTTATTTCATCACAAATACTTTATTGAAAATAAAATTGCATTTATTAAGGGGGAACATCTCTTTTGGTCTTAAACTAATCCTCCTATGCATAACCTCGTCTTGTTTGCCATTATCAAAAAGGGGGAAATTGTTGAAACACGGGTTTGTCACGTTTTCGTACTAAAGCTGTGTTTGTTTTTGTGACAGGTTTTGATAATGTCAAACCGCCATGATCAAGACACAAAGTGAATATACAAGGCGAAGAACGAAGATAAGAACAAGAGCTAAACGAAGACCAAGAACGAAGACCATAGTCTTAGTATCATTGAGTCGGTCTTTGTTGTGATCAAGACCGACCCAATCTTTACACCTTGGCTCTTTACGCTAAAATCTTTTCATTGCATCTCTTACATCATAAAAATTTCTTTCAAACATGTTTAAAACATTAAAAACACTTGGTGTTCGCCCAAACCAAAAACCAAGCCATCCGGCGTTCAGTTTTCGGCATTGGTTTTTGGCGTCCGAACCAACCAAGTGGTTTTAAACATTTTATGATTGGTTTTTACTACTTGGAATGTATAAACAGTTCTCCAACAAAAACACCTTGAAAACCACCTTTCGTTTTTGGTCATTTGGCAAAAACCATGTAAAACGGCATAAACTTGACTAGCCGTGGTTTTTACCCAAATGACGTGGTTTTTAAAGTGTCTCACTTCATTTCTTAAACAAATACATCAAATAAGTGTTTTAAACACTTGGTTTTGATTTTCGAGAACTTTGGATTTTTCGGTCGGTTTTTGCATCGGTTGGCTAGGCCGTGGTTCAGGCAAAAACCATGGGTTTTTGACTAACCACCCACCCAGCGATGGGAAGAACTACCCATCGATGGGTAAGCGGTCCTCTAGCCTAACCAAGTTCCAGAACCATGCCAAACAGCAATGGGAAGTTCTACCCATCGCTGTTAAAGCCTTGGTCCAACATCAACACAAGGCAGAACGACCTTACCCAGCGATGGGGACTTTACCCCATCGATGGGAACCCAGCGATGGGAAGGCTAAACCATCGATGGGAAGGCATGACCGTTGGAAGTCATTTAAGGTTGATTCTTTCCTTGTTTGGAAGTCAACCTCCCACCCAGCGATGGGAAGCTTGTACCCATCGACGGGTAGGTGACCGTTGGCTTCAAAACTGAAGGAAAATTGGCCTACCAGCGATGGGTAGAAACCATACATCACTGGGAAGCCAATATCCTGCAGATCCACAATTTATTCAATCCCATAAATCAAGCCAATCACCCCTTTAATGTATTGGTCCGTTGGAGCCTATTTTGCCACTATAAAAAGGGGTGTTTGGGTCTGCTTTTCTTATCAATTCACTTCACACTTCTCCTACTTTCATTACATTCAAACAACATCTATTTCCATAGCTTTTTAGAGCCAATACGTGTGAAGTTTGAGTTGTTCTTGAGCGTACTTCGTTTACTCATTATCTACTCTATAAGAGAGTCTCATTCTTGAGTGTATTTGTGTTGCTAGACACGTTGAGAGAAAGTATTTCTCTCGGTTGATTCAAAGGAAAGGCTGTTTCCTTTGAAGGATTCGTTGCGGTTCGTGTGACTCGAACTCTCAAGTTGTAAGGGTTTGTTAAGCACCGTTAACCTTAACGAGATAGTAGTGTAGCTCGAGAGAGTCTCTCGGGAGGCTGGATTAGCCAAAAGTTGTTGTGAACCAAGGTAATTTTGGTGTGCTTCTTACTCTTCTCTTTACATCTCTTTTAAATTTTTTAATTCCTGCGATTTCTACGATCAAACGTTATTCACCCCCCCTCTAGCGTTGGTCTATTATTCTAACAATTGGTATCAGAGCCTAACTCGCGTCCAAACTTAACCGTTTGAGAGTAAAGCGATCATGGGTTCTTCTTCTAGAAATCTTTATGCAGGAATTGGAGAAGGTCAATCAACCTCTAGGCCACCGCTTTTTGATGGCACCAACTACACATATTGGAAAGAGCGGATGAGAATTTATATCCGCTCAACCAACTTCCAGTTGTGGTTGGTCATCAAAAATNTATTCACCCCCCCTCTAGCGTTGGTCTATTATTCTAACAATTGGTATCAGAGCCTAACTCGCGTCCAAACTTAACCGTTTGAGAGTAAAGCGATCATGGGTTCTTCTTCTAGAAATCTTTATGCAGGAATTGGAGAAGGTCAATCAACCTCTAGGCCACCGCTTTTTGATGGCACCAACTACACATATTGGAAAGAGCGGATGAGAATTTATATCCGCTCAACCAACTTCCAGTTGTGGTTGGTCATCAAAAATGGCGAAGAAACCACAATGAAGAAGGTCGGTGAAAAACTTGTCCCAAAGACCGAGGACGAATTTGATGCCAAAGATATCAAAAAGGTGGAGAACTACGCCAAGGCAATCAACATGCCGTACTGCGTGGTCAACCCCGATGATTATCGCAAGATCTCTTGCTGCACCACCGCCAAAGAAATGTGGGACAAGCTGGAGGTTACATATGAAGGTACGGACCAAGTTCGGGAAACCAAAATTGACTTCCTAACGCAGGAGTACGAAATGTTTATGATGAAGGAAGGCGAAAAGATCGATGACATGTTCGATCGGTTCTCAAAGATCATCAACGACCTTCATGCTCTAAAAAAGACTTACGCCAACAAGGATCTCGTGAGGAAAATCCTGCGGAGTCTCACGCCTGAATGGAGATCAAAGGCTGATGCAATCTACGAATCCATCGGAGTCTCCAACGTCACCATCGACGGGCTAAGAGGTAACCTCAAAACTTATGAAGAGAAAGATCACTGAGGAGGAGGAGTAGAGGAAGATGGATCGTCGCCCTCAGGAGAACGGGGAGTGAGCCCAATGTGCACATCCGAATGGAAGCCAGTGAAAATATTCTGAAGCTGAGTAAAGCTCTCAGCCTGGGATGCATGCTGCTGTCTGATCTCGGACATCCTCTGCAGGATGGTCTCCTGCTGCTCCATGATCCTCCTAGCCCATTCAGGAATCGGATCTGCTTAGGTCGTGGCTGCAGGAGTCTCAGAAGTGGTGGGACGGCGGCGGGTGGCTCTCCTAGATGAAACATGCGAAGATGCTCCTGAGGTCGAGGGCGCAGATGAGGAGGCGGCGTTGCTCTCGGTAGAGCTAGCTCCCAACCTCCTGCGGATATGAGCATTCCTCAGCATGCCTGTATCCAAATCTCTCATCAGCATCTGGGGATGCGGAATGGGCGTCGACCCCACGAGCCATCGGAAGAGTATGGTGACCACGAAACCACAGACAATGTGCGTCCGATTCCCCATGGACTGGTTGTAGAGGAATCGGGCCTCAAAGACGGCCACATTCGCCTCCTAGCGTGTGTGTAGACTCCAGAACACAATCATATCATCGGGGTAGACCTGATCCGTGTTCAACGGCCTTCCAAAGAAGGACGTCGAAAGCACAAAATATAGGATTCGCCAAGTAGGCTGAATCCAGAACCTCGCCCGGCCCATGCTATCAAAGCGGTCCGGGTCAGAAGAATGCTCCGCCCAAAAGTCAGCAGGATCAACGTCTTCAGGAAGAAGATGCGGCGGCATCGAACTCTGGTGCCAACGTCTCCTCCCAAGTTTAGAGACCCAAGTGTGTGGCCAGATCGGCGACCGTAAGCTGAAACCCCTGCCCCAGGAGAGTGAAAGTAAGGGTGGTATGAGAGTCAATGGACTGGAGGTTCATCAACCGCGACCCCGTGGATGGCTCCAACTCCAAAGAGCATAGGAACTCGATCGTCAGTGGCAGGCTGGACTCAGCCCGCATCGTAAAGAGGCGGTGCCACCTCGTCCCCTGCAGCAGCTGCTCCATCTCCTCGGCGTACCCATAATCGGCAAGAACTGCCGAGGACAAGTACACAGACTCCGTCAAAGAGCGGTGGCGGCCCCACATCTCAAATCGCTCGATGGGCCCTGAACCCACCAAGTGAACGTCGGCACGCGTAGCAGTCGGGTATGCTGGTCTGTGAGGCATCTGCACATGAAACACATATATAAAATCTTGCCCCCACATAGGTGCGACAAGTCTCCGTTCATTTATTCAAATAAGGAATAAAAGAAAATAATAATTAAATAAGGTAAAGAGAAATAACGGGTTGCCTCCCGTCCAGTTCTTCTTTAACGTCACTAGATTGATGCAATTACTTCATCACTTGTGGAGTTTAGTCTCCACCTTCCCTTTCTGAAGCTGCTCACCAAAATACCTCTTAATCTGTTGACCATTGACCTTGAACGTTCCAGATTCACCTCTTAACTCTACAGTCCCGTAGGGAAAGATTCTGGTGATTGTGTATGGCCCTGTCCATCGGGAGCGAAGCTTGCCTGGGAATAACCTCAAACGAGAATTATAAAGCAGCACTTGTTCTCCTTCGTGAAAGACTCTACTCTGCTTGATATGAGCATCATGGTAAATCTTCATCCTTTCCTTATATAGTTTAGCCTTATGGAATGCTAATGCTCGCCATTCGTCTAGTTCATCTAATTGATAAAATCTTTCTCGTCCAGCTTCAGAAGAATCAAGGCAAACATTTCGCAGTGCGCATAACGCCTTATGCTCAATTTGTACTAGAAGGTGACAAGACTTCCCGTACACCAAGTGAAAGGGAGTTGTACCAATCGGTGCTTTATACGCGGTGCGAAATGCCCATAGAGCATCATCTAGTTTCTCGCTCCAATCCTTCCTTGTACGGGCGACAGTCTTCTCCATGATTCTCTTCAAATCCCTGTTTGCATTCTCCACCTGTCCTTGCGTTTGAGGGTGGTATGCCACTCCTCCTCTATCTTGAACTCCATAACGTTCCAACGCCTTAGACAGGGGATCATTTCGGAAATGGGTACCTTTGTCACTTATTATTAGTCTCGGAACTCCAAATCTTGAAAACAATTTCTTTAAGAGCCTAACCACAGTGCGTCCATCGTCCCTTTTGCAAGCTTGGGCTTCAACCCATTTGGAGACGTAGTCAATGGCGACGAGGATGAACCCGGACCCACCACTAGCCACTCATTCCTACCCATATTCCCTCACAAATGTTGGACGCGTTGAATCAAGGTGAGGTTAATGACACTCGGGTTGCTAGAATTTCTAAACTTGAGGTCACGATGATCTAACCCGAGTTGTCGCCAAATTGCCTCATCTTGGAATGTTTCATCCAAGTTTTCGGTAATTTCACCTCGACGAAGGCCAAACAAAGAAGTCAAACCGGCACCGTCAATGAAAACGGTTTTGCCAACAACATAGGAAATGAGAGATGGCGAGTCTCCCTTAGTGGTACGAAGATTTGCATAAAATTGACGTATAAGATTTGGACAAAAGAATTCAAACGTCAAATGGATGAAACGAAACAATCCTTGCTGAGAGAAAAGAGACTTACTCGGGGCATAGGTCGCCGATTTGAAGAGGTCCTTGTTCACGATCTTTGGTGAGACGATCTCCTTCGTGAGAAAGATGTTGTGGAACCTCTCGGCTAAAGCCCCAGTGTTGAAGGCGAGTCCGGTTTGAATGTGGATGTACTTGCTCCCTTCACGACGCCATGGCCTCTCACCTTCTTCTGCCGCCGATTCTTGACGCGATGAAGCGTTCTTGCACCTTGGCATCTTTCCTCTTTGAAATTGATGAAATTTGGTGAAAAATGGAAGAAATTTGAGAAATTTTTGATGAAGTTTGAGAAAATCGGAGAAGGGAAAGTGCTAGGGTTTGGAGCTTCTGCGATTTGTAAAAGAGGATATGGCGAAGAAGACGAAGTCAGGGCTGATTTTAAGAGACAGGGAATTGGATAATAATCGATTAAATAAATTGAATTAATCGATTAGTAAGCACAGTCGGCTCTAATCGATTTACGAACAAGATTTAATCGATTAAAAAAAATTCAATCAAATGCCCAGGAATTTGTGCTGAGGATATTAATCGATTAAAGAATGACTGTTAATCGATTAAGCTGGACAGAGGCAACTAATCGATTCCTCTTCGAGGAGTAATCGATTAAAACAAATTTGATAGAAAAAAAATCATCAAGTCCAAATCGGTTTGGTACCAAGGGAAGAGATACCTGAAATAAAAGCCCTCGGTAGCGCTTGATGTCTACCTCTTTACCTTTTTCGTCCTTGTCGAGATAGCAAGAGGTGCTCATTGGTGTGTCAATGGATTTGGATTCGGTAACATCGAATCTTTTAAGCAATTCCCTGCAATATTTCGTTTGACACACGAATGTTCCTTCTTTGCATTGTCTAATTTGCAGCCCAAGGAAGAACTTTAATTCTCCCATCATTGACATTTCAAATTCACTTTGCATCATATTGGAAAAATCCCTACACAAAACCTCGTTAGTAGCACCGAATATGATATCATCTACGTAAACTTGAACCAAAAGGATGTCTTGGTTATCTTTCTTGATAAAAAGAGTAGTGTCGACTTGACCCCGTTTGAACTCATGGTCCAAAAGAAATTTGCTTAACCGTTCATACCAAGCACGAGGTGCTTGTTTGAGACCGTAAAGCGCCTTTTTGAGTTTGAAGACATGTTCGG